GAAATGCACTGAACCCAAGTTTGACAGCTATCAAACGGGCACTTCAGTGCATTCCATTGGGGGAGAAAAAAATTCACCAAAAATTAACGAAGACTCAGAAATTGCTTTAAATGCTTGGATTCGTTAGAGCACCTTGTAAAACATGTGCAAACTTAATCTGGCTTTGTTATTGCTCTTCGTTAATTTTTGGTGAATTTTTCCCCCCATTGAAATGTGTTGAACCTAAGTTTGACAGCTGTCAAACAGGCACTGAAATGCATTGAAGTGCCCGTTTGACAGCTGTCATCCAAGCATTTAAAACAGTTTTTGAACATTTTGAGACACTTTAAAAATAGCGAAAACGGACATCGCAAAACCACTGAAATGCATTGAATAGGCTTCAATGCATTCCAATGGGGAAAACTTTGAATCGCTTAGCGATGTTTCCTATGGCAATTTTCGCTTAAGGACGGCAATCCGTTCCTATTGGAATGGATTATCCGGTTTTCAATGCATCTCTATGGGAAAACATGTTTCGCTTAGCGATGTTTTCCCATAGCGATGGTTCTTTTGGAACCAATTAAAATGTATTAGAATGTATGAGGCAAAACATGAAGTCCAGATAGAGGAATGTATTTATATAGTTCTGCTTTTAATCAAGCATCATAAAATGCTTTTAAAAAATCTAACTGGCAATGGGAAAAAAATATTGTAGAGTAGGATCAGGAAAGCCACACTCATCCGATTCATTGTCTCCTGGACCTTGCTGCGTGGCAGCTCCCCCCTTCTGAAAACTGACATGATTGGAAACACTACTTCCCCTCCACAGGCCTTTAAAATAGCAAATAACCTTCCCCAGAAACTTCTGGATGTGTAATTAGCAATCTTTATGCCAAATGTGGGGGGGGGGATTAGGGGGGACAGGCACCCTGGCAGGCTGCACATGGTCCATAGGGCACACAATCCCAAGACCAGATTCTAAAGTATATATTAATACTGTAAGAAATAGAATAAAATCCTGAACCTCCTTTGGACAATCTCTCTTCGATCACATGTTTGATTAGAGAAAACACAAGAAAACAATTTTTTTCAAAAGGTGTATTTGTTATAAAAACACACACTAACCTGTGAAGTAGTAATTGTCTGAAATTGCCACTTTGTGGATTAATGGTGAGATGATGAGAAAGGTAATTGCACAGCCTTGCACCCATATATGAAAAATTGGGGACAGATGTAGCCTTCAGAACAAAACAAAACCAAAAATAGTTGTAATTAGAAAACGCAAACTATTTCTTCTTCTTTTCTTTCTTTTTTTGGTAATTCCAAAACAAAACCAAAAATAGTTGTAATTAGGAAACGCAAACTATTTCTTCTTTTCTTTCTTTTTTGGTAATTTTCTGAAATAATATCCTAATAAGAATCTTAACAGAACAATCTGCAGCACACGGTAGGTTTATAGTTATATCCTACAGTAAACAAATAGATGTTCAAGTTAGATAGTAATTCTAATATGAAGGTACAACATAGAAACCTACTGTACTTGGAAAATGCGTACTTGCTAGAGAGAAATTGCCTCCATGCAAGAAAATGGAAGTGGGAAAAGGACATGGTTCCCTGTTAGAAAATTATCAGGCCTAGTCATGGAGACTCTTCCCTCCACCTAATTGAATCTTTGGGAAGATAATACAAATGCAGCAGAGATTATAACTTTATTTGACTACTAAAAAAATAATCAAACAATTTGCAAACTTTCATGGTTCAAATCTACTTCTTCAGGCCGTGCACCAATATAGCAGAAAAAAATTATAAATTAGAGTCCCAAAAATTCAGGGCAGAAGCCTCTCAGGTATACTTAAGATGAATTCAACCGCTGGCTGCACAACCACCAATGGTGTGTGTGTGATTTGAAACTTCACCCCTGGTAACACTGGGCTGAAATTTTCCCCTCAGCTCTTCAAAGAACTACCATGTTTTCCCGGAAATAAGACAGGGTCTTATATTAATTCTTGCTCCAAAAATACATTAGGGCTTATTTGTCAGGAGATGTTTTATTTTTTTCCATGTACAACAATCTACATTTATTCAAATACCGTCCTGTCATCTTCTGGTTGCTGCACAATGGTGGAGGACGGGGTTTCACTTAACTAGGGCTTATTTTTGGGGTAGGGCTTATATTACAAGCATCTTGAAAACTCATACTAGGGCTTATTTTCAGGTTAGGTCTTATTTTCAGGGAAACGGTACCAAATCAATCTGTATTTATCTCCCCCAACAAACAAACACACACACACTCATTGCCTTCCAAGGGAAGAAAGAACTCTGCAAGCAAGCTTCACATCCACGAGTTCTGCCTCCTTCTTGCTAAACAGGAATCAACAAGAAATATCTTTCATGGGAACAGTGAGAAACTCCCGGGCTCATATGATCCTTTGCCCCTCTTAAGGGCAAAGTTACGGACAAGCCTAAAAACTGTTCCCAATCCTTTTTTATATATATGAATGAACAACATTTCACCCAAGCATGCCCCAATAAATATCTAGCTCACAATACTGTATAAGCAACATGTCTTGCAAGGTGTTCTTAAAATTACCACATAATGTGGCCATTTTTTAATTATTAAAACTGATACTATTTTAAAATTCAAAGTAATTTCTGAGGACAATCCAAATGTCTTGTGCTTTTTTCAAACAAGGACCATGATTCCTTTATGCTAACATATAACATTAAGTTTAAAATGCACCCTTTTAAATAAACAAGTCGTTTTAGGAGATTGCCGACTCTGAAACATTTTTAAACTTCTCAAATCAGAAAGCCAGCCCTACACCACAGCTCTTCCAGAAAAACATGGAAGAAAGGAAGCAAGGAAGGAAAAGAAAAATTGCTTATCTCTGCAATCTACAAATCTCTATGAGGGAGTAAGGCTGGAGGAAAAGAACCTCTGAACAGACTGGATTCTGGCTCTAACAGGCCCTGTAGCAGTAGAGTATTTTTACATTTTTTAAGTGCACATCCTTGGCAATATGATTTTGTAACTGTTTTATTCATTTTAAGATTTAGACAACGTTGGCACTTTTATCTCCATATACCAGTTTAAATAGATTTAACTGGAACTATCAACAAGATTTAACTGAGTTGAGTCTGCTAAACTCTTATAATGGCCAGCAGTTCTTGACTGAGTACAAGATGTGCTCATACCTTCATCCTGCAAGGTTCCCACTATACTTTTATTGTCCATTTCCCTGGCCACAATTGACATTTGTGAACCACATTCCACCCTGCTGCAACTGTGTGCCACTGAATTTTCATGCTAGTGAAAAGGGGGGGGGAATGGCATGCATGGAAGGCATGCCTTATTTTTGAAACAGAATCACACTTCCAGGACAGCCACTTCCTTTGCTTTACCAGGAAAATGCCGTTTTTAAATTTTACCTTTTTTTCTTATCTATTTGCTGCTACACCACTACATTACAACAGTAGCCGTGGGGAGGAGTCTGTCAGCATTCGGCAGGGAGGTGCATCCAGCCCATGGGATGACTATTATCCACCATGAGCTACAGCTATCTTGAGTCCTTCTTAGCAGAAGGGGAGGGGGTGTCAAAATATTTTAAATAAATAAACTTGCAATTTTTATTCTTCTTTTAAAAGCACATAAAATTATACAAAAACAAAATTATGTTCTATGCAAAATGGTAACAAGTCACATTATGAAACTCAGTTTTGAAATAAAAAACACATTAGAAATTAGAGCAAAAAATATTCTTTTTTAAAGTTATATAAAGCTGTAACCCTCCAAAAAAAAATTGTTTCTCTTTTAGTTTCTGATCAGTTGTTTCTTCCATTTTGCTTTCTTTTTCTCAGTCTTTTTTTAGCATTTAATTTCCCCCTCAAGTTCCTTCTTTCTCCATAACTTCTTGTTGTTGTTTATGGTGTTTAGCCTTGAAGTGCTCTGTGTAGTGTGCCTGAGCGTACCTCACCAACTGCAACAAGTTTGCATCAATTGCAACAGATAGAAGTCCTCCAGAACTCAAAACAGAATCATAAATCTGACGCTGACAGGCAAGATTTTCTTCATATTCTCTATTAGCATTGTTCTCTACTAACTGAAAACCCATTGAGGCACAGTATGTTCTGAAAATATTCCACAGATCTGAGAAACTTGTTGGCTGTGAAAATACCACTGTAAACTGTATCTAGTCTAAGTCTAGGCCAAGTTCATCATCTTGTTTTGCAGCACACACTTGAAAGTGAGAAGTGAACTCGGTGGTTAAAACACTGTACTGTTGCTTTAATTTTTTCCCCTATTATATCACTGAGTTGATTTGCTGCATGTACAGTAGTTTTAATTATTTCCCTATTCTTGAAATTTGAAATTTTGGCATGTGTATAATGATAGTAGTTCTAGCGGCAATAAGCCTTGAAGCATGTTGAACTTCAAAGGACTTCTCTTAATCAACTTTTCAACAATAGCTACTATCTTGTTTTGACACCCTAAAACTTGGCCACTTGACATTTATTCAGTTTCACTTCTTTCAACAACTTATTTTTTCTGCAAAGCCAATGTCAACCTTCATTTTGTCAAACAAGTTCTCAATACAATTTCATGTCATTTGTTAACTGCCAATTAGAAGACATGTTTTGCAGCTTTTTTATATTTTAAGCAATAACTCATTTCCTTCCCGATTAACTTACAAAGTTCTTTATTGAAAAAGAAGAAGATGCCATTGGTTTTAGTTTCTGAAACCTTTGTAGAAAAGGTTCACTCAACAATACCCTGTTTCCCCCAAAGTAAGACAGGACCTTATATTATTTTTTTGCTCCAAAACACACATTAGGGCTTATTTTCAGGGGATGGTTTTTTTTTTCATGTACAACAATCTACATTTATTCAAATACAGTCATGTCATCTTCTTCTGGTTGCTGCACAATGGTGGAGGATGGGGTTTCACTTAACTGGGGCTTATTTTGGGGGGGATAGGGCTTATATTATGGGCATCCTGAGAAATCATGCTATGGTTTATTTTCAAGTTAGGTCTTATATTATGGGAAACAGGGTAGTTTTCATAAAAGCCATTTTGCACTGTATGAGCAGATCTTGCATTGCTGATTTTTAAAAACTTGACAGGTTTCCTGTTGGGGAGTTTTGCTTCCTCCACATACTTCTTGCTCTTGTCACAACCAGCAACAGTCTTATCAAGGCACTTAATATTCTCCCACCAGCAACTGCAGCAAAACTTCAGGGGGAACAGTGTGCTTCCAGTCAAAGCAGTTATCATGCCCTCTTACCTTGAACTGATAAATACATGTTACACAAGGCTGAATTCAAATCCTATCTCACAGCTTGCAATCCTGTTTTAAAAGACCCATGTACAACATGCAGGCTATAAGTTCCAAAGTCAATCAGTTATTTTTCTTTTCCTTTCCAGTCAAGGTTGGTTTTCATTTCTTCTTTATTTGCCCCCCAGAAAAAGGTGGTTTACATTTGGCCCATCCATTGATACTTGTAATAATTTTGTCAGTGATAACGAACACATGCATTTTTAAAACTTCAGAAATTCATCAGTAAAAAGCAGTTTGAAGCAAAACATCAGTTAGATAGTATATGGAAAATTTATGATAAAATAACGAGTTACTATATCCATCTGTCCCTTTTAAACCACTTTTTCCCAAAGTTTCAGTAAAGTTTCCAGCAAAAATTGTACATAACTATGATGCCCAGCCAAAAGCGACAGCATACATTGCTTTCATTTCTCCAAGATTAGACTGTTGGACTATTTGGCTATCTGAATTGTTAGAAGACTTTCATTACACTTTTTTCATCACCAGTTACAAAACCCAAAGCTAATCTGCTATCCTAACACAATCCTTACTTGCACAAATTAGTTCTTTGCAGTTTTCAACACTCTGAACATGCTTTCCAGTTTTTGCATCCTCTATACTTTTACTATATGAACCTAGGCTTAGCTTTGAATCTAAACATACTGCAATGTGAACATGCTTTCCAGTTTTTGCATCCTCTGTACTTTTACTACAGTATATGAACCTATGCTTAGCTTTGAATCTAAACATATTGCAATAGATTGCTGACTTAATTTAATTTTCAAATCCTTCTCACGCAGTAGTCCTTTTGCATGAGACTTTACGGCTCTAATTCCTACATTACTTAGTTCAAAGATTTTGTAGCACATGTTACAATAACTTTTGCATTTATCTCCAGTAAATGGAGATAAGCATGGAACAG